ATAATACTTTATCAACATTTATTTTAGCTATTGCTGAACAGTATTTGAACAGCATCAAGGCCTCCTGCGACCCACTCTGCTCTTCCAGCTCTCCAAGAGCAGGAGAATTCTGGAGTACACCTGGAGCGCTGCGCTCAGCACCCAGCACAAGGCTGTGGACCTGGTGGAGTGAGCCCAGAGGAGGGCCACGAGGATGCTCAGAGGGCTGGAGCACCTCGCCCTCATCCCACTTTGAGGGAACAAGAAAGCAGCTGGCAGGTGATTAGTTGCTGGCCAGAGTCGTCATCTCCCACAAGACAAAATTACCCCTCACAAAAAAAAGGAAGTGGTGATCAGGCAGGTCAATTTAGAAAATAATTTTAGCACAACTAATGGCACCAAAAAGAAAAACTACAGTGAATCAAAAGTTTGTTATAGTAGGTAAGGATTGCAAGAGCTGACAGAGAACAAAAAGAACATGTATTTCTTCTATTTCATCAGAATCCAGCTAGATGAAAAGTTTCTAAACTACTGGGAAAAGGATAAAGCAAATAAAGTGAGTGCAGTAACACTACAGCTTTTCTGTTCCTAATCTCAGAAAGCAGTTGCAAAGATTCTCATGCTTTTGTTAATTGTTTTCAGGAAAATGAAGAAAGGATTTCTGAAGAAAGGAGCCAGAACTGGAAGCACCACACAAAAAAAAATTCATGTTCATGTGGGACCTGTGGTCCATGTCTGCGGGTCCAAGACCCGCAAATGCATCCTAAAAAAAGGAAACATTAGGCTCCATTTGTCTGCTTGTTTCTGACAGGATCTGTGACCCAACGGTGCTGACAAATTTAAAGAAAAACCCTGCAGATTACATTAGGACTATGTATTATGAGTCATCTGAATAATTGCACATCAAGCTGTGCCTGGAAAAAAAACAACTCAGCATGGAAGAATTTCTACACCTGGGTCAGGTAAGGTGAACTGGCTTTGCTGACTTGCTTTGCAGCAGAGCTTTTCAGTGCCTCGCAGAGAGCCAGATGGCAGAGGAAGAGCAGAAAGGAGAGAGAGGACAAATGACAGTTCACAATGCAACTGCAGTGAGCTGCAGAAGCAGCTTAAGTCTAAAAACCAAGGCTGAGAGGAAAGGACAAGCAATTCATCAAATGCATCCATAGGGACCTGTATGAAGGTGTTTAATGAGTAAATGCTCCCAGAAAGCTACAGAGACAAGTTCTTAAACTTCCCTGGAGTGAATCCTCCATTGCCTCCATCTCCAGCCTCTTCTATTCTGTTTCACTGTGGGCTTCCACAATACCTCCTTTCCAAGACAAGCCCAAGGAGTTACAGAGAGACATTGTGCTCCTATTTGCTGCTCAAATAGGAGAGACCTTTCTTGAACCCAATTCACGGACATTTTCCCCAAGATGAACAATTTCTTAGTTTCACCTCTGTCAATGCTATACTGAAACCTTCTACACAAAATCAAAGCTTCAAACACAGTCTTGTCAATACTGCAATCCTGATCACTAATTCATAGCCTAATGCTTTCCTTCCACCATTCTACCACTTCATTTACTGTAGACAAATTACTCCCTGGTAATTTTTGCCTAACCGTAAATGTTAAAGAAAATAGACTAAGCACTAAAATATGAACCCCATACATTCTAAAACCTGAAGGTGATGAAATGTCCACCCTCACGGTATCTAAGCACTTAAAATAATTGTCCAACACATTCTTTCAAGCTTTAGTTGCAGATATTCTGTAACTTCTGTAAACAAACTAGGAATACGTGAACTGTTGCTGATCACACCTGTGGTGGGGGAGTAATCAGATGACCCATCAACATCCTCTCAGCCCTGCTTTATATAGCTCTACTGTTCATCTAGGCAACGCCACAGCTTTGCTACTGACTCAAGATTCTGAGTATCTGATGAAGGTGACACTGGTAAGTGCTTGATAAGCAAACTTGCTCAGGAAAAAATAAACAAAACAAAACAATCGAAATAGGACATATTGAACAAATTTAAACTCCAGTGCAATGAAGCACCAGTATTTCATTGGTCCTCCAAACAGAAAAGCATTGTGGTTTAAAAATAGGGTGTGATACCAGATAACTGCAGTGATTCACCTGGAAGCCAAGGAGAGTACAAAAGCAAGAGACAAGTTAAAACCTGCACTGAAATCAGAACACAGCGTCACAGCCTCAACAGCTCTTCTGGTGCTGGAATGAAAGGTTAAGAAGAGGGCAACCTGGCCTTCATGGGAACAGATCACGGGAGAAGCTATGTCCATCACAGAAGCAAAACCCACCACAAATACAAATGGCCATCACCAGTTCACCTACCGATGATGCACACCGTAGCCATTTGCAAACAAATACAGTAAGCCTGTGTAAATTATCAGGGCTTTAGTAATGTGAATGGACACTTGAATTCACAGCAGTCTGACCACAGAGACTGCAAAGGCACAAGGGAACAACACTGGGACCAAAGGAATTTCCTGCCGTGGTAGGACACAGATATGACCCAACTTTGCCTGTTGTCTACATGCTGATAGGCACAGAATGAGACGGTAAATGTTTATGGAACTGCTCACGTCTGTTAACTCTTCCAATTATGCCCCTTTTTCAGGAACTACATAGAGCTTTGTTTCCATTCTGCAGGGGATCACGTTTTGGTGGTCAAGAAATGGATGCATTATAACCTCTAACTAGAACTGTTTAGTATGCTGGTATTTTTGGTTTTACAATTCCCAGATTAATTGCATTTTTTTTTCAGCTGCTTCATGCCCTTTGATTCCTCTCAGATACTCTCCCTACCAGTCAAGACCTCTGAGCAGCTGCTACTTTGAACCTGCTTTCTTAAGAGAAAGAGCATTGATACAGTCAGTGTCTGCCAATAAAGCCAGCAAGCTCTGAAGTTTTAAGAATTTAAATTTAAATGGGGGGGGGGAGGAGGAGGCAGAGAGGAAAAAAGGCTACCACCACCCCTACTGAGACAGACCTTTATGCTCACACCTTGTTAGAAACCAGAAGTTCCCTACAAAACGGAGAGAAAAATGGGTTTCACTTTGGTTAGGTTTGCCAGAGAACTACTTATTAACAGGAAAAAAAAAAAAAAAAGAAAAAAAAACATGAAAAAACCTACACACAAGCTTCCTTCATTCTCTAAGTAGGACTTTTCAGCAACATTATCCCGATGATTATATTCAATCCTAAATCACACTTTCAACCCCAAACAACTCCTCACAGCCAGAAACTAAGCGGGAGATGCTCAGAACCAGCAGCACGCAGAAGCCCTTGCTGTTCTTAGCTCCAACAGCAGGAGCTGAGCCTTCTGGAAAAGGTGACCTTTCCAATCTGGCACCTAAGCAGCACACAGCGCTGCCTCTCTTGTAATTCTAGTCTGAAAGCCTGTGCTGCCAGAAAGGAAAACTCTGCACTTTGTCCTCAGACACGACAAAAGGGGGGAAAAATACACTGGCAGAAGACAGCAAAACTTGACATGACTTCTCTCCATCATGTGTTACTGAAAGGTATCTGCCCATCACGTACAGTTTTAAACCGTGCTGCTGCCAATGGGCGTGAATACTTTTTGTGCAGAGAACAGGATGCTATTTTTGTGACCAAAAATTCCACCAGGATGCTATTCATCTATTTTGGGCTAAGTTAAGGCAGGGCCATCTAGCTAATGATAGGGTCTATCGCAGTACCATGAAGAAAACTGGTCTTGTCGAGCCTGTTCTTTAACCCCGTCTAATTGGGCTAGACAGTTTGTACCACACAAAATAATTGTTCACACACTTCCAGCGAGGTGACAACTAAGAAGAGAGCTGTACTTTTCAGCAACTGTAAGCTGTGGCAGACAGAGGGGAGTGAGCAGAGAATACCAAATACATTCCTCACCCCGTCAGTGCAGCATAGCATATAAATTGAGCTCCCAGTACAGAGCTCACGGGCAATATAAAGCTAACTGTAACATGATTCAGCAAGAAGGACAAGGCCATGCTTAATTTCAAGTATCTGATAAGGACTTCATGGCTTCCATAATACGTGATCAGGAGCTATAATAGTTCTGTAAATACCCTGCTGAACTCAGGCCAAGCAAGGGCAAATGTCATAATCACATCTGAGAACTACATCTGAGGGATGACCTTAAGTGCAGCCTTGCACGCTTCTCCTGTTGCCCAGGGAAACAGACACAGCACAAGAAGCAAAACCTTACCACTAACAATTATCACCCAGAACAAATCCTGCCATCTCCAGACGTGGTCTAGGCTAGGCCAAGACACATTTCCATGCCACCGATCCACATCGAGTCCCTCATTTCCTTTCCTCTAACCATAATCACTGTGGACCACATCCCTGCAACACAAAGTAATTCGCGTTGGTCTAGAATCAAAACACGCACCGAACATGACATGCTGCCACCTTCTGATTCAGGAGGGCATTGACCCAGAAAACCCACAAAGCTGCACCAAGCTGCAGGTGGACTGAGTGCATCTAAGCACTCACTGCTGCGATAAAGGAACCATCATCAGTGTTCATCTCACATTCTGAAAAAGTTACCCAGGAAAGAAAAATAAAACTTTTTTCTTCCCCCCGATTAGCAATTTGAATCAGGTCAGTGAGGACTCTTGGAAAGCTGGGGGCAGCACAACTGAACACAAGGGATGGAAAAGAGAAGAGAGGGTTACCCCATGCCAAAACAGAAGAGCACTGATTGGCCTCAGCTCTATCACCTAAACTTACTTTAAGGGATGTGAAAAGGCAAATGATGGAAAAACGGAGTCCACTCTTTGCCATGGAAGTGCTCAGACAAGGGAAAATGGCAGCGATGACTATGAAATGCAAATTCTTAGTGACACTCCACAAAGCCAAAGCAAACACACTCAGTTTTTGCCTAAGTGACTGTTCAACTCTCCAGCATCTCTCTGTCCCACGAGTGCCTCCCAAAGCATAAAGCGTGTTTAATCAGGAAAAAAAAGTGCCCCCTCTTTGAAACCCAGTGCAAACAAGTATCTCCCTTACCACTGTCAGCCTGAGAATCACACTATCCAGGGGGGTAGGTGGGAGAAGGAGGAAGAAGAACCTTAAGGGGAATAAAACAGCACTGAATGAGGAACACACACACAAATATGAGCAACACTGGGGAAAAGCAGCCCAACTCATATCGTTCAAGAGACAGGAAAAAACTTCTTGGCTTCTAAGAACTTTAGTTTCCCTTTTTCCCCCTTCCCCCCTCCATCTTCTGTCATTAGCTTACTAATTGAAAACATTTTTGGAGTAATACTTTCAGGGAGTTTCCTGTTTATCAGTAATAGCACAGTGAGCCAATAAACTCGGTGGCCTGAAGTACTCGGCCTTGGCATACAGTCAGGCCAGCATACAGTAATTACCTCGTAAACAGGAAGCATGCCACTTACTGCCAGTGCACCCAGGCGCAGGAACAAGAGGCACACAGAAACTCTACTTCTATGCTGGCAACTCCTGCAGCCTACGGAAGGTGCAAATCAGAAATTAAAACAAATGCAAATAATATTTCATGGCTATATATGCCAGCAGGTGTTTGCCAGCACCCTCTGAAGCTTTCTTGAAAAATCACAACTTTCTTTTTACTGAAAACGTCTTTCATGGGCTGACACAGCCAAAATAGTTTCAAGCATTGCCTAAAAGCCTTTCTAAACTTACTCTGCATAACGAGATTAGAGCAAGGTAGGGGAAATTTTTGTTATAACCTACGTCTGACTGCTGCAGAGCTGCAGGCAGATCATAAGGGTTAGCATGCACACAGTCTGAAAGGTACCAGACTTTACACTAATGATATACGTGGTAACGTTATCCAAACGTATGGGTATGTCAGAAAACATACGTACCATGATCCAGCTACACGAATGGCTCTCTGCTGACTGGTGTCATATCTGCATGAGTATGCCTTTTGAAAAGAGCAGGAGTCGCAACAAGTCTTGTCCTGCAACCTGGAATACAAATTCTTAATCAATGGATTTTAATCCAGCTCAGATAAGATAGCCTACTTGAAAAAAATCCCACCCTCCTCTTGCTTCTCTAGTTTCAAGTTATACAGGCTATGACAGGCCTGTGAACAAATCATTCTCAAAAAACATACTTCTTCAACAATCAGCAACAATCCCTACTCAATCCCCTGGAAGACAGCAAAAGGCCTGCACACAAAAGCGGCCCCAGATCTCATCTCTGACCTAGGACATGGATTATTCTTAGTCACCGTAGCTGCTCCTCAAACGTCGCCTATCTCTGATGAATGTCTTCAGAGAATGCCCATCAGCAGTCGCTTGCAAAAAGACATGGGCAGACGGATCAACACCGAGAAGGGAGTTTAAAAGGAAAACTCACAGGGTCTTAACCTGGTTCTGTAGGGCTCTCTGCAGACACCAAGGGAATTCTTCTACATTCCTCTTAGAATAGGTTTGGGCAACGCAAAGCAATTATCTGTTCCTCAGAATAAATGGATATCTACAAATCCCCACCACAGCAAGAACTCTTTTAGTCTTAGAAACCCACCACCAAGCTCAGTACCCCTTTTTTCCTCCCTTTTCTGTTGGGATATGGGAAGCCGCAGCTACAAGCTGCTTCCGTGCACCACGGAGTCTCTCTTGCCCTATTAATTTTCAAACAAATGCTCATTGATAACAGAACTGCAAGGTGGCTGAGGTTGGAAGGAATCTCTGGATACAGTTTAGTTTTGTCCTCCTATTCAAATGATTATCATGGTGAGAGTTGGCCAAAGCCATTACACCCTCAAGAAATATTTCAGCAGCTATCCTCCCTTGCAGACTTGTATTTTGCTTCAAAAACACACTACAGAAAAGGTGCTAGACTTATGCCACCAGTATTTGAATTCCACACCACACTGAAAGCCTGAAACCCACCAACAGGGCTATGCCTGGATAACAGCACAGCCTTCTCCAAGGCTATCTGGGTACTTCTGCACGATTCAAAGCGAAGGATGCAAACCACAGCTCCTTCTGACTAAGCACCCTTCCAGTTAACTCACTTCAATGGTACCATCTAGTGGATTACACACAGCCTGACAGTTTTTTTGGTTAGTTATCTCTCACAGCTTTCGTAGACAGAAATTAAGCCAAAAACTGCTAACGCGATACCACGTGGTAATTCCTAGTAAAATGAGAGAAAGCAGGTATTGCTCAGGGACACAGCACACCAAGTAAATCTGTCGTGTACATTCCAGCTGCTGAAAGGCACTTCACAAGCTGCTTACCTAACTGATGAGACAGATACAAGCGCACACAAGAACTGCTCTGCATTCTTTGACTACGGAATCAAGAAGTGAGTGTCAGCAAAACTACGAGGGTCAAGTCCTGCATATTTCACAAGACGCAATTCCAGAGAAAGCATGAAGACTCACAGGTGAGTAAGTGTTGAATCAGTTAGAGCACTACAGAAGAAAAAACCTCCATTCAGATCAGGAAGCCACTACAAATCTGAGGAACACATACCTTTCCGTCTCCTGTAGCAGCACAGTCACCTCAGAAATTTCATTCCTTTCACCTAATTCTAGCTTCTATCATCTCACTGAAGAAGTACTGTAGTTTTTCAGTGAATGTTTTTATCCTCTATTTGGGATTTGCATTGATAGCTCTGAAGCAAGGTGGACAATCCCGACCGATGTCAGAGGACACATTTTGTACTCTACCCTCCATCACAGAAAAGGAAATGTGTTCTTTCCTGACATTTTAGGTGGACTAAACAACAGGCAGGGGTCTGACCAGACATTTTTACTAACCTGTCCGCCCTGCAAGAGTACGTAAACACAACAAAGATCCCAAGAGAAACAACTTGGAGCTACATTGCTCTGGCAGTCAAGGCATTGAGAGACTGGCTACACCCATCAGACTGCACTAGCACAGACCTGCAGCCTGAAATATAAAAACTATCACTCAGTCTACAGCAGGCATCACCACGCAACCCAACCTCCTGAGCACATAAAATTTGAGCGCATGGTTGAGCTTTTAAAATACTAACGAGCTCTCTGTTAATTGTGAGTTACACACAGCTGTAATAAATAGTATAACAGTATAAAATAATAATAGTGTAATACAATAGTATAAAATACTGTAGTGCAATCAAGTACCCAGGCTGCCTGAAAAGGTAACAAAAGCAGAGGCACTTACAGTTTTCACCTGGGTTATGGTAGGGAAGTATACACTAATCCTGAGTTTCTTTAAAAAACAATTTGGCTTGATAAAGCACACTTGTTTTATGGTTAAACACAGGTGTTACAAAACAAGCTGAATACTGTCAGGTGAAAACCAAAATAATAATTAAAAAAAAGAAACCAAAACATAAAAATATATATATACGCTTGTGAAAAACATATGGGACAGCTGCAGACACATCTGATGTAGACCTATAAACCATTCACACACGTGAGGAAAACATGTTGTGCAGCAATTCCTAACCAAGGGGAAAGCCATGACTGTTCTGCCCTTCTCAGGGACCATGAGGAGAGCTCTGGCGCCTCAGGCCGCCATCACAGCACTATACAAACACCATGCAACAGGGGCTTTCCCTCAGCCTCCCTCATGCTGAGGGGACAGAAACTTCTTTTTTTTCATTGAATCACAGAATCATTAAGGTTGGAAAACACCTCCAAGGTCACCTGGTCCAACCATCACCCTACCACCAAGTTCACCCACTTAAACGATGTCCTTAAGCACCACGTCCAACCTTTCCTTGAACACCCCCAGGGATGGTGACTCCACCACCTCTCTGGGCAACCCGTCCCAGTGCCTGACTGCTCTTTCTGAGGAGAAATGTCTCCTCATTTCCACCCTGAACCTCCCCTGGGGCAACTTGAGGCCATTCCCTCTAGTCCTATCGCTAGTTACCTGTGAGAAAAGGCCAACTCACAGGCCTTGTGCTCCAGGCCCTTCACCAGCTTCGTAGCCCTGCTCTGGACATGCTCCAGGGCCTCAGTGTCCTTCTGGGAGTGAGGGGCCCAAAGCTGAACACAGCACTCGAGGTGCGGCCTCACCAGAGCAGAGCACAGGGGGACGATCACCTCCCTGCTCCTGCTGGCTGCACCATTCCTGACACAGGCCAGGATGCCGCTGGCCTTCTTGGCTACCTGGGCACGCTGCTGGCTCGTGTTCAGGCGAGCATCCATCAGCACCCCCAGATCCTTCTCCTCTGCACAGCTTTCCAGCCACTCTGCCCTGAGCCTGTAGTGCTGCATGGGGTTGTTGTGGCCAAAGCATAGGACACAGCACCCAGATCTGTTGAAACTTTTTCCCCCTTCCCTTTTTTTTTTTTTTCCCCCTTCCTTCCCTGCTGTTTTTGCCCCTTTTCTCCCCTTCCTTTCCCTTCCCTGCTGTTTTTGCCCCTTTTCTCCCCTTCCTTTCCCTTCCCTGCTGTTTTTGCCCTTTTTTCCTCTTCCTTTCCCTTCCCTGCTGTTTTTGCCTTTTTTTCCCCTTCCTTTCCCTTCCCTGCTATTTGTGCCTTTTTTCCCCTTTCTTTCCCTTCTCTTCTATTTTCCCCTTCCTTTCCCTTTTTCCTCTTCCCTTTTATTTTTCCCTTCCTTTCCCTTTTTCCTTCCCTTCCCTTTTCTCCCTTCCCTTCTATTATTTCCCTTCCTTTCCATTTTTCCCTTCTTTTCCCCTTTTCCTCTTCCCCTTCCTTTCTCCTTTTCCCCTTCCCTTCCTTTTTTTCCCCTTCCTTCCTTTTCCCTTCCTTCCCTATTTTTCCCTTTCCCCTTCCCTCTCTGCCCACACACTGCCCATACCCGCCTCAATCCCTTCACGCACCCCACCGCGCATGCTCAGCCGGGCGCCATTTCCCCCCTCCCTCCCTCCCTCCCCAGCGCGGTGCCGGCGGGGCGGGGCGGGAGGCGTTGGGCGCAGGAAGAGGGCGCCGCCATCTTAGGCGCTCGGCGCGGCGCGGCGCGGCGGGATGGCGGCGGACAGCCGGGAGGAGAAAGGTACCCCCGGGGGACGGGCTGCGGGCGAGAGCCGGGCTCCGGGGCGAGCTGGGTGGGACACTCGGTGCCCCCTCGGCGCCCCCCTCAGCGGAGCTGGCCGCCCCCAGCCGGGCCTGCTCGGTCGCTGGCTCCGGGCCTTCGCCCTGTGAGGCGCCCGTGAGGAGAGCGGAGGGCGCTGGAGGCCCGCTCCGGGGGCGGCTGCTGCGGGTTTGGGCAGCGCTGTGTGGGGACGGGGCCCTCGGGAGGCGGGGGGGACGCGGTGCCCGGGCAGAGGGCTCGGGGCAAGGTGACTGCAGCAGAGGGCAGCGAGGTTCGCCGTGCTGCAGGAGGGTTGCTGCTGGGTATCCTCCTGCAGGACTGATTTCCGTCAGGTTTTTCCTTAATTTCCTTTATTTTTTTTCTTAATTTTTTTCTATCAGGAGACGTAGTTACTTTGTCAAGCAGAAGCTGGCACTGCAGTATTCCCTGAGTGCTTTCAGCTCGCTGTCCCTGTCTTCCCTGCAGTCCCTTAAGCTTACCGACCACTGTGGGTGAATAACTTTAAAATAACTGAACACTTGCAGGGTGACATATACCCTAAAGGCTCAGGGCAGCCTGTCACTCTGCAGAAGCTGAAGTGATGCACGTGCTGTCTGTGAGGTTATACGAGTCAGTCCTCGCTAAATTGACGTTAAAGCTATGAAAGCGTATGTCAGGTGTAGCGGGCTGCTGTCTGGTGGTTAGCACAGATTACAGTCATTTTATTAAAAAGGTAAGGGATCCAGGTAGCAGCGTGGGTTGGTTTGCATCATTCAGGATTTCTGTGGAATGCATTTCATCTAAAACTTCTTGCAGGATAGCTGGCTGTGAATTGTCACTGCCCATTTGTGAGAAGGGTGAAAGTCTGCGGTGTTCAGTATTTGTAGTCAAACTGGAAAATTCCCACTAGGTTTTGTTAGAGCTGATGGGTGAAATTATTTCTGATATTTGATTCTTAGCTTTATTATTGTAATACTGGTAGGGTAGGATATGTTTGGGTCATCCTGGAATAGATTTTAGCAGCCATTCTGGAAAAACAGTAAAATTGAAATATGTACTATTGGATTCTTAAACTCTGTCTCATATAACCTTTTATCCAGATGGGCTTTTTTTTTTTTTTTTTTAATGTGTCTAGGATATGTGTTGGGATTTTTTGTTTAATCACTGACAGTGTTCAGGTCGTGAGTAGCAGACAAGAAATGTTTCTATGGTTTGTATTTTAACTTGCGTTTAACTGGCTGCTCTGTGAAAGGATAGATTCTGATTGATTGGATAGCAGGTGTTAATAAACATTTGTTTGTAACTGAGTTTATCTCTGATGAAAATGCAATGTTATTTCTGTACTCCTTCTAAAAGAGAAATGCTGTTTCACTGCTTAGGGAAAGTGGAAATAAATCTCACTGACCCTTTCAGTTTTAGATTGCGTGGTCTTACCCACTCTGTTTGCCAACTCAGATTCTTGTTTGGACCCTTCCTTGAATAGATCTAACTCTTTTGGCCAGCAAAGGAAAAACACCCTCCCCAGGTTACTTTCCTGCTGTTTCAGGTGAGTTAAATTTGTTCATGGAGGGATCCAACACACCCCGGAGTCAACATAAGATGAGTTGCAGGAGAGCCCAGTTGGGAGTGTCTGTAGTGAAATGGACCCATGTGGACCTTCCCCCTTCAGCAGTGATGAACTGTAAGAAATCTGTCCCTCTACTGTTTTTCTGTTTCTTTCTTTTTTTTGTGCTTTTCCTGATGCTTACCTTGATCTCTCTGAGATAATTTAGCTGATCAGGTTGAATGCTTAACAGTGACAGCTCAGTGAGCGGAATCATTTTATGGAGGTCAGTTGAGCAGTGTACCTGATGCAGGCGGCAGATGGGAACTGTGTGGTCAGACTGCCCTTTTTGCATCAGCAGGCTGCTAAATAATTCTGGAAATTTCTCAGGAGTCAGATGCATCATAGAAAGGGAGGAAGACCAGTTCCTGCATCTGTCCTTTGAATACTTTTTTAAGGTTCTGACTAAAAATCAGGCCCACCTGACCCTGAAAGGGGTTGTCAGTCTGTGTCAGACATGGTTATTCCATAAAAGTTTTATTTTCTCATTTATTTTTGAACCAGCTCATACCTGAGTATTTTAACACCTCTGAATGCTACTGCAGTAGCTAGGTTAAATATAGTTTACTCAAGCATGTTGTTGCCTCACTAAAACAGAATGAAGGCTGAGGCTCAGTATTTGTGGTCTGAGGTGGGTTCTAATCCCAGAAGGCCTCTTTTTCATTGGTCTCCAGCAACAAAATTTTGTGTTGAGAGCTTGCCTAGCCCTTTGTGGGGAAACATGATGCAAGCCAGGAAACTGCAACCCATGTTTAGCAGTTGCAAAGCCATCAGCCTGGCTCTTATGTTTCTCATCATTAAAAGCAAAAATGTTTGCTGTGGGCATATATATGTATCTTCAAGCATCAAGGTCTGCTCCCAAATGAATTACAGTGTAGCTCTGTGATATTTGAATGTCCTCTGACTGTAAACTGCCAGGGAAAAGCTTGATACACTTCTCTCTGCACCACTTCCTTTGCATCATTTACAGCAGCAATGCAGTTCAGTGACTACTCCTACATTCCCCTGCCACAGAAAAAGTGAAGAAGTGCCTGCAGGGAGGCTAGCACACATGGTGACTTCAGATTCAGACATCTATAGTAGAGATAAAAATAATATTAACTTGTATTTTTAATACTAAGCTGTAAAACTCATCTTGTGGCACAGATCAAGAATTTGAGATAAACAATTTGCCATATTCTGGACAGCTTTGTTGCTTTACCACAGTTTTGTCCAGCAGAAGAATACTGACCTGCTGCTTTTTAACATGCTACTTTTTCCAGATACTGTCAATAGCTGAATCCCTGGAATTTGCTCTGCTTTCCTCTTCTGAAACACAGGAAGTAGAATCACTGACAGTAATATAGAATGAAAGAGCTCAGAATTCCAGACTTCAGGACAAGTAACATGGGATTCTAAATTCAAACTTTTCCTATTATATTTCCATTTGCATACTTACACTTAGTCCAGTCTTATTT